AATGTGACGGGTTGTTTTTATATTTGTCGATCCTCTTTTGGTATTTACAGTTTGTTTTGTGTTATGATCAGATAAATAAGTTTACATATCACCTTGTCAACGAAATCTATTTCAGTTTTGAGTTGACATTAATAATACGGACCTGTTATTAAACATGTGTCACGGCACCACGCACCTACTTATGTGTATTGGTATCATCAATATCAAACACTTCAAACGCGATTAAATCAACGGGAATGTATACAGGAGATGTGGTATGCTTATCTAGATAGGCTTTACACAGTGGGTACAATTTGTGAAAACCATTTCTGGTGTCCCCAGCTGTCATATTGTGGAATATTGCTAAAACCAGTGTAAATCTAAACTCACTCACTCACTTTACAGAACTGAGAGCAAATGGTACCGCGTCGTATCCCCACATGAATTGGCACTTCTCATGAACCATATTATATTACTCTTATGGGTTTAGATAGTGGTTTATTATTCATGTTCATATTAACCCCTGTGTTCGAGATGTACATAATCTGTTGAATATAAGAACAGAATTGCATTGCAAGCGTTCCTAGTAACAATTGCAGCTTATTATAATTTGCATTGACACATTAACATTTAGTTACATAATTGTTTCTTTGCTTTGTGAAATACGGGCAGACAAGTAAATAATGGAATTCATTCCCGACAAGTTTACATTTCACAGTTTGCAGGTATGACATTCTTCATTAATTTTAGACCATCGATCAGTCTCCACAGGTAGGAAATTGTTACTTGTACATCGTTTTAAAAGCGGGATCGATAATTTACAAGGTGGATAAATATAAGAGATTAAACTGTGATGTTCGTTATGTATGATTGGCTGTTTGTGTGATGTTATCTATGCATGATTGACTGTTTGTGTGATGTTCTCTATTTACGATTGACTCTGTTTGATGTTATATATGTATGATTCACTGTGTGAAGTTACCTATGTATGATTGACTATTGTTGTGATGTTCTCTATGTATGATTGACTGTTGTCTATGTATGATTGACTGCTTTGTGATGTTATCTATGTATGATTGACTGTTTGTGTGTTGTTATCATGTATGATTGACTGTTTGTGTGATGTTATCTATGTATGATTGACTGTTTGTGTTGTTATCATGTATGATTGACTGTTTGTGTGATGTTATCATGTATGATTAACTGTGTGATGTTATCTATGTATGATTGACTGTTTGTGTGATGTTATCATGTATGATTGACTCTGTTTGACGTTACCCATGTGTGTTTGACTCTGTGATGTTATCTATGTATGATTTACTCTGTGTGATATTATCTATATTCCATTGACTGTTTGTGTTATGTTATCTATGTATGATTGACACTGTGTGCTGTTATCTATGTATGATTGACACTGTGTGCTGTTATCTATGTATGATTGACTCTGTGTGATATTATATATGTATGATTGACTCCTTGTGATGTTATCTATGTATGATTGACTCTGTGATATTATCTATGTATTATTGACTGTGTGATTTTATCTATGTATGATTGACTCTATGTGATATTATCTATGTATTATTGACTCTGTGTGATATTATCTATGTATTATTTGACTGATATTGTCTATGTATTATTATCTATGTATTATTGACTCTGTGTGATATTATCTATGTATTATTGACTATCTGTGTGTATTATCTATGTATTATATTATCTATGTGATGTTATTATATTGATTATTGACATTATTGACTGTGTGATGTTATCTATGTATGATTGACTCTGTGTGATGTTATCTATGTTTGATTGACTCTGTGTGATGTTATCTATGTATTATTGACTCTATGTGATGTTATCTATGTATTATTGACACTGTGTGATATTATCTATATTCCATTGACTGTTTGTGGGATGTTATCTATGTATGATTGACTCTGTGTGATGTTATCTATGTATTATTGACTCTATGTGATGTTATCTATGTATTATTGACACTGTGTGATATTATCTATATTCCATTGACTGTTTGTGTGATGTTATCTATGTATGATTGACACTGTGTGATGTTATCTATGTATGATTGACACTGTGTGCTGTTATCTATGTATTATTGACACTGTGTGCTGTTATCTATGTATTATTGACTCTGTGTGATGTTATCTATGTATGATTGACTCCGTTTGATGTTATCTATGTATGATTGACTCTGTGTCATGTTATGCCACCCTGACACTTGCACGAATTTTGCCTCGCTCTGCCGCGCGTGTAATTTAGGTGGTACGCATGAAAGCGTGAAGCATAGTTTGCGCACTGTTCGTGTCCTGCTTACGCATAAGTTACGCACTTGGCCGAAAATGGTGTGCTTTGTCACGCAATGGCACGCTATCGCACGACTTATTTACGACTAGGTCAAGTATTGTTGACGCATTGTTTACGTCTAGTGTACGACATGGTACGTACGACACACATACTTCCAGCATGGGCATGCATTGCCACAACCACTTCGCGCATGCGAGAAGTGACAAGTTAGAAGGCGTGAACTTTCCGCAATCTGTCGCGACCATGTCGCACACAGTTCGTGATCAAAGCGGGCCAATGCGTTACACTGGGTGTCAATGTGAGCAGGGCCGGAAATTGACACGCTTTGATACACATCGCCAACAGTGTTTGCGAGTAGGTTGCGCAATGTTCACGACTAGTTCACGCAAGTGACACGAAGATTATGCGAACCAGATATTTTGAACATTTCACAAGTTTCTTTGCGCACTGGTACGCAGCCCCGCACAGTTTATGCACACTTCACACCAGTTTACGGCGCATTTACTCATTGGCACGCAAAATTGCGTACCAGTGCGGGGACAAAATTCGTGCAAGTGTCAGGGCGACTTTATGCATGATTGACTCTGCGTCATGTCCATCTGTCCTGATATTGACTGTATGTGCAATGTTCTATTTCCGTGATCGACTGCATGTGTAAACCCAGCCAGCCAAAAGCTGTTGTGACCAGGGAAATTAACTTATTCACTAGCTCGTCTGGGCTGGCTTGCATGGCTTCACTATCACGAGCCATTGCAACTAACTCACCACTTGTCAGAGGGATACATGTACATAAAGAGTCCGTTTTTTAACCGTTTGTATGATTTCATAATTTAGTACACAGGACCAAAGCCGGATGGTACACCATTGAAATACACGTAAATACGGTAGGAAATAAATGCTCTGACCGGATGTACGTATGTTTCCAGATATTTCCTTACTTCGGGCATAAGTTTCATACAAATCTATACCTTTGAAACATATGTTCATCGTACTGCACTCGCTCTTGCTACCAGTATCAATTACGCCTTGTCTGAGGTGTTGGCAAATCTTGTGAGGTGCTTGTTTCGCGAGATTGCGATGAGCTGCCCCTTTGTCCTCGCAAGTGTCCCTAGCTGTCCCAATAGAGTAGCCCTTTATCTCTCTTGGAGCACAGCCAAATATCCTACACGAACCAACTCGTAATTTCTTAAGTCTGTTCAGCTCGCGCATCACTACTGTAAAATATTTTTTGGCAGTACATAATTGGAATATTATTGCACTGCATGTTACCTTCCTTAATAGTCCCACAGTGCCTGAACCATGTTATTTCCCCTTCCGCTCAGCCTTTGCTGTAATAACGCCATACATGAACTTTGAAGTTGTCCATATTTGTTTCACTAACACAAAAGTATACGATAACAAACAATTCCATATCAAATTATATATTCTGTGAGACATGAACTGAAAAATAGTTTTTATCGTTTAGCGATTGTGATCGGATAGCACAGGCGGGTGCATTGGACCTCCGTGCCTTTTGTGAAATTCGTCTTGATTGTCCTATTTAAATTGACGATCCATAAACTCAGATTGCGAAAGCAAATCTCCCACAAGTAAATGCGATGTTACATTGCTTTAATTTTCCCCATCGGTGAAGTCCTTCTCATAAGATATATATTCCATTGTTTTGAGTAGGCATATGACTATTACGCACCAGTGTTGCTAAACATGTTGTACATTCAAGTGAGAAAGGGGTAGTGCACGATGTATCCGGCGGACGTATATGGAGAAAGTTCGAAGAATGTTACTGTATAAATACAATAAAAGATATACCCAGGTGTACCCTCAATCTTATAGCCAGAGAGATTGTTGTGAAAGATCGCAATATGTATCATCCTAAACGGGCCCAGATAAAAGCATATCTCATTCATCCCCACATTATATCCCTTTTATAGACACGGGACATCGTTGTTACAGGTAGGGCAAACACTTTCTTCGATATGTATCTGCCGGTTTCACGCTACATACATGCATTCAGATTATTGAGAAAAGTTCTCCTCCATTACACATATAATTGTATATAGACCCAGTGTGATAGCGCTGCAGCAACTTATCAAAATGGACGACATATACTATCATCTGCAGTAGAACTGCCATACCTAGCATCGTATTGATTACTCTCTTACATAAGGTTAAATATCACAGGGTTGTCATGGTAACGGTAATTTAGCATACTATTTATTGTCTTATTCTTTAATCTGCGATTAGAATTTAAATCAGTTTTGACGTGTGCATGTTTAGGGAAAAGAAGCTGTAAAACGAAAACTATTGTGATCGAACCTATAGGTTGTTTGAGTGGCATTTTAGAAGTTGAGACGTACAATATATAACAAGTTTTATGGATAACAACTTCTTTATTTTGGTGAGTGCGACGTTTCGATACAGATTCTTGTACCGTTGTCAAGCAAGAGTGATACATGAAGTGTAGGAGCTGCATATATATACTGTATATAACAATGAAACAACATAATAGACAAAGGAAACAACATAATTGCCATGATTGGCTAAGCAGTAAGCTGATGAAGCCAGTAAGTACATAAAGGATAGTGAATGGAAGCCAGAGATGTAGTTACAATGAGATGTTTATACAATGGATGCGATGTTTATACAAAGACTCTCAAGGCTTGGTGGACCTTCCTGATGGATCATAAGCAGATGGAATGACGCATCCTGATTGGTCACATCGTTACAGCAGCCTTCACCTAGCGTCCAGAAAACTCCTCACTGAACGCATCCGACATCATCGCAAAATCAAGGCCACCTCCACGTCCGCCATCAATGATCTCCACACCTCCCTCAGTTCCACCCTTGACCCAGAACTCTTCTCTTCCTTACGAACTGCCCAGACTACCGCCAACAACAAACTAGACACCTCAACTAAGACCGGACACATCAAGAAACTACAAGAACTCACTGCCTCAGGAACCAAACGCAAGAAAACCACAGCACCAACTATCAACAACACAGTCGTCAACCTTAGCAAGAAACAACTCACCAACCAACAGGTCAGTACCCTTGCCAAAGGTCTCAAATTTGCCCCTACATCACCCAAAATCAACTCGGACATGTTTATCGCCAACATTGAAAAGGGTCTCCAACAACTTGCACCCGGTGGAAAGGTTGACTTCCTCCGACACCAGATCACCAGTATTCTCCACAAAGCCCAGCCTCAGAAACCAAACATCACACCAGCTGAGAAACAAGCCATCAGACAACTTAAACAACATCCTGATATTGTCATCGCCCCAGCCGACAAGGGCAGAGCCACTGTTGTCTTAGACAAGGACCACTTCCACTCCATGGTGGATAACCTCCTAGATGACACCTCAACCTACCAAATGATGAAGAGGGATCCGACTACAAAGCTCAACCGTCAGCATAAGGCCACGCTAAAAACGCTGCATGATAAATATGAACTCTCAACAGACCTGTATCGTAAACTCACAGTATCTCACCCCCAGCCACCTTATGCCAGAGCAACAGTCAAAATCCACAAGAACCCCGTTAAAACTCGTCTACTAGTCTGTTCCCGTGACACTGTATTCTACAGTACTGCCCAGCACCTTACCCAAGTACTCTCCCCATTAGGTAAATCTGCCAACTCCTTCATCAATGATTCAACTGACTTCTGCTCCAAGATCCGTGACATCACCAACCCAGGTCCAATCATCAGCTACGACGTTGTGGACCTATTCACCAATGTACCTCGGGATGAAGCCCTTCAAGCACTACGTCACAGAATTGACAACCTCCAACAACCCCTCAACACCAGCCTCTCTACCGACTCTATCATCAGCCTCACCTCCGCCTGCATCAACTCCACCTACTTCACCTGGGGCGATGCCATCTATGAGCAAATCCACGGTCTTCCCATGGGCTCCCCACTATCCCCCATCCTAACAGAAATTTACATGGCGGACCTGGAAGAGAAGGCCCTAGAAACTGCACCCTTCAAACCGTCCTGCTGGTACCGCAAAGTGGATGACACCTTCGTCGTCCTCCAACCTCAGCAAGATCCAAAGCAGCTCCTCGTCCATCTCAACAGCCAACATCCCCGCATCAAATTCACCATTGAAACAGAGCAGAACAACCAACTACCTTTCCTTGATGTCCTTGTGTCCCGCACCTCCTGCAACCAACTCCAGACCTCCGTGTACAGAAAACCAACTCATACGGATCAATACATCCACTACAACTCCAACCACCCACCTAAAGTCAAGACCGGCGTCATCTCTACATTGACCAGAAGAGCCAAAAACATCTGCTCAACAAACCTACAGGAAGAAATTGAACACCTGAGGAAAGTCTTTGTGGAACGCAACCACTACCCACCTGGAAATAGTCAACAGAACCATCGAAGCAACGCTTTCACCTCCTGCCAAAGGTCTAAACCAGAATCAGCCCCCATCAAGATATCCATTCCCTACATTGGTAAACCATCACACCAAATCAGCCGACTCCTGAAACAACAGGCAGGAATAGACACTACCTTCTCAGCGTCCTCCAGCCTCAACAACCTCCTCCATGCCAACGGAAGAAAACAACCCACCGTCAACAACAACCCGAAATGTGTTATTTACAAAATAGACTGTGATTGTGGACAATGCTACATAGGTGAAACATCCCGACCCATCAACACCCGAGTCAAAGAACATCGCACCTCTGTTGCTAATTCCGACACCAAATCAGCTATCTCTGACCACATCAAAGCCAACCCCAATCATCAAATAGAGTGGTCCGACATCACCATTCTCGCCAACAACCAAACGGACTTCACTAAACGCAAGCTCACAGAAGCCATTCACATCAAACGCCACAAGCCTACCATCAACCGTGACCAAGGATACTTCATTCCATCTGCTTATGATCCACTCCTCCACCAAGCCCAGTCTATTGTATAAACATCGCATCCATTGTATAAACATCTCATTGTAACTACATCTCTGGCTTCCACTCACTATCCTTTATGTACTTACTGGCTTCATCAGCTTACTGCTTAGCCAATCATGGCAATTATGTTGTTTCCTTTGTCTATTATGTTGTTTCATTGTTATATACAGTATATATATGCAGCTCCTACACTTCATGTATCACTCTTGCTTGACAACGGTACAAGAATCTGTATCGAAACGTCGCACTCCACGAAAATAAAGAAGTTGTTATCCATAAAACTTGTTATATATGCTTGTTGGTAAACAGTAAAGTTTATCCCTGTTTCGTTTATAGCATATAGCAATAGCAAATATACGAATATGAGTTATTTGAAATATGGTGACATTTTTAATTTTACTAATATTGCATGTAACATCATATGCATGCAAAATATTGAATGTATACAAATATACAAAAAATTAATTGTCTGACAAAATATGATGAAATTTTATACATAAATAAGCGTTAAATGTTACACCAGGAAATAAATACTTATGTGTACTGTGTACATGGGGGGATCCAGGAATTTTGAAAGGGGGGTATTCATGGGGTTCGAACCCCCTGAACCCCACATTGGCTCCGCCAACGCAAAAAATATCTTCAATGTGGTCTTAAGCCTTTTTTAAAAGGGGGGGTTCGACAAATTGTATTATGCGAGCCTTTGGCGAGCATAATACATAATTTCTATTCCTAATATATGATATTAATAATACGGAAACACACGAGGTTAATAATCTCTTTATCATATAATGTCATTCTTAAAATTACTCTTAAAAAAGAAGTAAATCATACGTGAATTTTTATGAAGAGAATCGAGCATTCACGTAAGAATACTTAGCGGTACACCAAGGTGAAGGTCGTTCATGACGGCGGCATATGGTTGTGACTAGTCCCTAATACAGTGCAAACACAACTCATGCTTAAAATAAGATCTTTCTGTCTAAAAAGAACAACAAAATCGGGCAGGGTTTTCTTGGGAGTGTTTCTATTTTCATTGCGGGTAATCACCTCATCAATATCAGTTTCTGATACCTGACGGCGGAATCGATTCGTCGTCAGTATTGTGATCGATAGATCGTAATTTTTGGTTGGTACCTTTCTTAGACGATTGCCTGTCAGTCGTGCCGCATAATCCGTACCTTCAATTTGAACGAATTACTCCGTTTCATGTTTTCAAGCCTAATCTATAGCCATACTGGAAACAGTATGAACTTGATATCAATACCTTTTACAGAACTGTCAGAAAACAAAGCTCCACAACTGATCTTGTTATGATGAATAATAGTCAATCACAGTTAATAAAAAGTCTGATCCAATAGGTCATACAATGTCAATGGCAGTCTTTTACCAACCATCAGCCGCTTGTTCAACAGGTTGTAATAGAGTATCATCTTGCCACGGTTGATTCAATTCACAGTTGTTCATAAAATGTTTAAGAACCTTGCTCGTAGAAACTGTTTTGTCCTGACTATTCGTTGATGTGTTTCATGTGCAATATCCAGAATTTTCTTTCTCAACAGTTGGCGTAATTATTCTTTTTCCCCACAACAATAATGATTGGAATGCAGAGAGTTCATCTTTATATCTAAAATTTTCACTTTCACTATTCCTGATTCCAGAATCAACTGAATTCCATACTTTCACAAGTTCTGAATCATCCAAAGGAGCATCTCTAAACTCATCCAGTGAAACTGAATTCAAATCCAAAACAGATATCCACTTCTAAATAAAGTTAATACACGTCTATGTAGGAATTATTACTGAAGACCTTTTTCTTACTCAGATATCTACTTCTAAATAAAGTTAATACACGTCTATGTAGGAATTATTACTGAAGACCTTTTTCTTACTCAGATATCTACTTCTAAATAAAGTTAATACACGTCTATGTAGGAATTATTACTGAAGACCTTTTTCTTACTCAGATATCTACTTCTAAATAAAGTTAATACACGTCTATGTAGGAATTATTACTGAAGACCCTTTTCTTACTCAGATATCTACTTCTAAATAAAGTTAATACACGTCTATGTAGGAATTATTACTGAAGACCCTTTTCTTACTCTGATATCCACTTCTAAATAAAGTTAATACACATCTATGTAGGAATTATTACTGAAGACCTTTTTCTTACTCTGATATCCATTTCTAAATAAAGTTTATACACGTCTATGTAGGAATTATTACTGAAGACCTTTTTCTTACTCTGATATCCACTTCTAAATAAAGTTAATACACGTCTATGCTTATGGGAACTAATGTTTAACAAATATTTTTCACAGTTAAGCAAAGTCTTGAGAATGATAAAATGTGAGAGAATCACTCTGAAGAGAATAGTGCCAGTTCTGATAAGCACATTCCTTAACACCTTGACTAAAGATATATAAACAGAATGATCTGGATCCCCAGCCCCTTGGCTTATTCAAACAAAGATATGTGATATTATATTATTATTGTTTACAGATTCCATCCTATTATTATTATTATTGTAGACAGATTCCATCCTATTAGTATTATTGTATACAGATTCCATCCTATTATTATCATTGTATACAGATTCCATCCTATTATTATTATTATTGTATACAGATTCAAATCAATACGTGTAATACGGAGGGTTCTGTGATCTTCCACAGATTGTGAGTTATTGTGTCAAGTACAGACAGAGTCAGCCTAACCCGACAGCATGTAACAGTACAAAACCTACACCTTTCCCAGCACAGATGAGAGAGGAATCGGAAGTACTCCTGTTTAAACCTACATGAAATGATTGTAAAGACACGCCCATGGCAACCCTGACCAATGAATCACATGCCCATATATTCTGTGCCAGCTGCTGCTAGTATCAGCCAGGAGATAAATAGCAGCTCCTAGGTCTCTCAGCAACTTTGTAAGCAGCAGCCTGTATCAGACTGCTGGCTGTTACCTTGTGGGAGTACATTCGCTGGATGTCACAGAAGAGTGTGTTTGTGCAGAGAAAAGACAGTGACAGACCAAACGATGCAAGGTTTGACTAATTGTTTAAAACCATATACTGAAAAAAACCCGTTAGCGACCATGGTCAATTCGGAGAAATTGTATCTAGTGAAGACAGTTACAGTTTCAGAAACATATTTATGCTCCACTTTTCTGTTCACTATGCATACGTATTTCTATACATCGATGTAGCAAACGTATTTATGACCAATCATTTTTAAATTCATGTTTACGTTCATCAATATTTCCTGCAGTCATTTAAGCATAAACTATTGGCCAAAATTTGAAAGAAACATACATATTCTGTAAACATTTACTCAGGTAGACGTATAACCATCTAATACAACAGAGATATTACGTATGGACATAAAAATGAAGCTGTATTTAGCTTCAACTGCATCCTCTTAACACTTTGGGTACAATGTGTATTGGCCATTTCTGGTGTCCCCCGCCGTGATCTTGCTGGAATATTGCTTAAAGCGGCGTGAAACCATACTCACTCACTCACTCACTCACTCTTTACACTTGCTGCCGTTCCACTGACATTTCCATGACAACGGCGTTGTTAAATATCAAATAATAATACGTTAACACGGTTTTAGTTACCCATCAATATCCAAGCAGGTAAATGGAGATATCCACTTCTAAATAAAGTTAATACACATCTATGTAGGAATTATTACTGAAGACCTTTTTCTTACTCAGATATCCACTTCTAAATACAGTTAATACACGTCTATGCTCATGGGAACTAATGTTTCACAGTTAAGCAAAGACTTATGAGAATGATAAAATGTGAGAGAATCACTCTGAAGAGAATAGTGCCAGTTCTGATAAGCACATTCCTTAACACCTTGACTAAAGATATATAAACAAAATGATCTGGATCCCCAGCCTCTTGGCTTACTCAAACAATGATATGTGATATTATATGATTACGTACCTCTTAACGCTTTGGAATACCCAACTCTGTCATGTTTACATGTTGTCTTACTTGTAGTTTAAATGTCAGTGACAGTTTTAAACTTGCTCCGGTACAACAAAGTGTACGCTTCAAACTGTTTGTGGCCTACCAGTGCTTCAGCTTCTGTCCTACACTTCAACCAGAGCACTAAGATCGGAAAACCAAAGCATGCTTGCTGAGCTTACGATAACGTTCTTTTCATCCTGTTATTATCATTGTATACATATTCCATCCTATTATTATTATTATTGTAGACAGATTCCATCCTATTATTTTTATTATTGTAGACAGATTCCATCCTATAATTATTATTATTGTAGACAGATTCCATCCTATTATTATTATTATTATTATTATTATTGTATACAGATTCCATCCTATTATTATTATTATTGAAGACAGATTCCATCCTATTATTATTATTGTAGACAGATTCCATCCTATTATTATTATTATTATTATTATTATTGTAGACAGATTCCATCCTATTATTATTATTATTATTGTAGACAGATTCCATCCTATTATTATTATTGTATACAGATTCCATCCCATTATTATCATTGTATACAGATTCCATCCTATTATTATTATTATTATTATTATTGTATACAGATTCAAATCAATACGTGTAATACGGAGGGTTCTGTGATCTTCCACAGATTGTGAGTTATTGTGTCAAGTACAGACAGAGTCAGCCTAACCCGACAGCATGTAACAGTACAAAACCTACACCTTTCCCAGCACAGATGAGAGGAATCGGAAGTACTCCTGTTTAAACCTACATGAAATGATTGTAAAGACACGCCCATGGCAGCCCTGACCAATGAATCACATGCCCATATATTCTGTGCCAGCTGCTGCTAGTATCAGCCAGGAGATAAATAGCAGCTCCTAGGTCTCTCAGCAACTTTGTAAGCAGCAGCCTGTATCAGACTGCTGGCTGTTACCTTGTGGGAGTACATTCGCTGGATGTCACAGAAGAGTGTGTTTGTGCAGAGAAAAGACAGTGACAGACCAAACGATGCGAGGTTTGACTAATTGTTTAAAACCATATACTGAAAAAAAAAACGTTAGCGACCATGGTCAATTTGGAGAAATTGTATCTAGTGAAGACAGTTACAGTTTCAGAAACATATTTATGCTCCACCTTTCTGTTCACTATGCATACGTATTTCTATTCATCGATGTAGCAAACGTATTTATGACCAATCATTTTTAAATTCATGTTTACGTTCATCAATATTTCCTGCGGTCATTTAAGCATAAACTATTGGCCGAAACATTGATAGAAACATACATATTCTGTAAACATTTACTGAGGTAGACGTGTAACAAACTAATACAACAGAGATATTACGTATGGACATAAAAATGAAGCTGTATTTATCTTCAGCTGCATCCTCTTTACACGTTGGGTACAATGTGTGAAGCCCATTTCTAGTGTCCCCCGCCGTGATTTTGCTGGAATATTGCTAAAAGCGGTGTGAAACCATACTCACTCACTCACTCTTTACACTTGCAGCCGTTCCACTGACATTTCCATGACAACGGCGTTGTAAATATCAAATAATAATACGTTAACACGGTTTTAGTTACCCATCAATATCCAAACAGGAAAATGGAGTTGTTGCGTGCAATGCTGTTTATTGCAATGTTTGACCAGGATTAACATCCCACCTTGCTTGTCGTTCGTTCTGTGAAGCACCAGTTGTCTGATCTAAACACGGTATATGAGGAATATTGCCCATTCATCTTCAACCAGCGATGACATTCACTTAGGCAATACTCAGAAAAAGTAGTGAGTGAGTGAGTTTAGTTTTACGCCGCACTCAGCAATATTCCAGCTATATGGCGGCGGTCTGTAAATAATCGAGTCTGGACTAAACAATCCAGTGATCATCACCATGTGTATCGTTCTACGCAATTGGGAACCGATGACACGTGTCACCTAAGTCAGCGAGCCTGACCACCCGATCCTCTTACGACAAGCATTGGTTACGGAAGATGAACTCTAACCCAGATGTTCACGGGTTCAGAAGAAGTAAAGGAATTGATGGACAAATTATCTCCAAGAACAAAAACGCATTTTGTATCGTTTGCACGTTGTATATATACAACCGGGTTTTTCCTATTGTATCCGGAATAGTGTTAAATGTGACCTGCTAATTCCCGGGCGTATCATACGTACCCAAATAGGCCTTGTATCAGAATTTGACAATTGTTGGAAGCTGATAATGCAGTTCCAAATATTTGCTTGCTTGCAGTAAGTAATATTGAATTAATGTCTCTAAATAATAGATCTACTCATCTAAGAGATACGATGATCTCTCAGGACTGAAGGCACCACGGAATAAGTGAGGGAAATACGATTAACAACATCTGTGTGTGTATGAGCTTGTGCAATGTGCTCATCGATGTGCTCTTCATTATTTCAGGTATAAAGTACAAGCTTTGTCTCAAAACACTTTGTATTGTCTGTACCGTGGTAATGCTGATGGAAATCCTGACTTCATATGAGTTGTCCAGAAAAGTAGGTACGTATCCTAGAATTTAACTCGGGTGTGTTGAACCAACTTTGCTCGTCAGTGAGTAATTGTAACGGAATGCATACGTCACAGCTGAAACATATGTCCTGCAATCCAACAATTCCCTGTGCATCCGGCTCTGACATGACACAGACTTTACTTCATGAACAGAAATGCACCCTAGTGTCAAAGTTAGTGTCTAGTTCCTGAAATGAGAGTTGTTTTGTTTTTGTTGTTTTGTTTTACACATACTTAGGATAGACAGCTGGTAAGGCTAGGATAATGAAAATTCATGTCATTGGGAAAAAAAACAGTTAATTTTAACACTTATTTATCAAATTGCAGTACAGACCATTTCTGTGTATATGAAACACTTTCTTGAAATATATTTTTCTATTCGACAATAACATCGTATTCGTTCAATGAGGAGATGTAATTGTAAAGAACTTTCTCTACACTTACTAATATATATATATTCTTTTATTATCAGAAAGGGATGATTGATAAGAATAATCTTATCTGAGTCTCCAAGAATGATCGCCATGTGAGATATTAAAATGTAACTATACGGTCGCAGTGTTGTATATGTACATATTTGTATATAGTCAATGTTGTAATGAAATAATGTACTAATTTTTACTGTGAAGTACAGAATAAACTAAACTTGCTTTCTATTTAGCTCCTGGTTGAATTGTCTTTAATTCACCGTTAATATTATTTAACTGCCTTTGGGTAGCTGTGGGGTTAGATTGCATAGCTTGGGTCACTCCTTTGTTTAAGATAGCTTACGCCCGATTGGCCTTGTTTAAACTACTAACGTTGAGCACTTCACCAGCACAGCACACAAGGTGAGGTGAGGTGAAATTGGGTTTAACGTCGTGCTTGAGAATATTTCGCTCATATGACGACGTGCATGCGTGTGTATGTGTATGTGCGGCTGCTTGTACTAGCCCAGACTTAAGCTGGTTTTATAGTGCTAGCTCACTGAGATACCATGCCGCAGTGAAGCATGAATACCCCACTCAGACACATTATACTGACTCCGAGCCGACCAGTCCTTGTTGTACCCATTAATGCCGAGCGCCAGGCAGGGACCAACAAGTCCCATATTTTAACGTCTTTTGGTATGACGCGGTCGGGGATCGAACCCGCGACCTTCCGCTCTCCGGGCGGACGCTCTAACCACTACACCACGGAGGCGGTCCGCACAGCACACAAGCCACTGTAGACTGAGACTGACCAAACATTACTACAGGTAAGTTATGTATTTTCTATTTTACAATTATGTACTTGTATATAGTGCTTAATCAGTTATAGTAAAATCATTTTTTAATATTATCTATTTAATCAATATAGGTATAACCAAAAAAATGTAATTTAACTAAAACAGTAAGTCTATACACAGTTTAATTCACCTAAACATCAGCTTTTCACTTTCCTATTTCTGTCCTTGAGAATTTGAGTGAGCAAGTATACACTTTTTTATCATTTATGTGTTTGTCTATAACTATGTATGTATGTTTTGAAGTGTTCATGGGTATGGCGTGGGTCATACATGGTATGTTACCCAGTCTTTCAATAGTATTTATATTTGTATATTTATTTGTATTTAGATGCAGTTGATATAATCAACTGGTGCAGTCAGTCCGCGCCCCAGTACTAACCACAGGGTACGCTTATAACTATGTTTGTGTATTTATAAAAAACTAGTCTTTATGTATATCATATGTATACATAGTCAGTGTAGTTTACCCTTGAATATATTTGATAAATGTATTAGTTGACTACATTATACCATGTCATCCGTTTGATTAAATGTGTGAATATATATGAATATAAATATGAATTGTGATTATGATTGTGATTGTTATTGTAATGTACCCTTACATACGCATGTGTGTCTATATCTATGTACTTATTGTTATGTATATGTTTCAGGGCGTTTGTTCTGACTTATACTCCTCCAATAAATCCTTGAAACTCAAACCCGACCCGTGTGTCATGATTGAACACCCCCGGTTACAAATGGAGCCCCCAGTGAGGATTTTGCAGTGAGTGAGCACCAACGTTGAACGAAGTACGCATCTACGCATCCTTGAGTTGGCGCTGAGCACGCGGTCTACAGTGTGCGGTACAGTCAAGACTTCATGAACTGTTGAGTACAATGGCATTGTCTTCATCAGCTGTGTATATTACGAACGCGTAAATATCACTTTACATACAGGCCTATCAACAACAGTGTAGACACCTGCAATTATGCGTTTGTTAGCTAAAATGTGTATGCCGGATTAGTTCTCCTCATGTACTACCTTTAGTTTATTTCAGTTTAACCCAGTATAGTTTAATTTATTATAGTTTAGTTTAGTTTATAATAGTTTAGTTTAGTTTCAGGGTACCACACAAGAATACTTTGTGATCCATCTGTCATCTTATTAAAATGGCAATTGATGTTGATGTATGTACATGTGTTTGTGTGTATACTTTATCGTCCTTGATATATAAACATTTAGTTAGTAAGATAAAATTGGCTGTTTATTTATTTCTTTAGTTTGAAAAGTTGAGTGTGAATGTGTGGTCTGTGTGAATTATTTTCTATTTTGCTTTTTGCACACTTTACCTAAAAGTAAGAGTAACTGCTTTAAATAATCATTTCAACAAATCAACTTAGTCAACAGTTAAGTTAACTTAGGCACTCAAATTATCTGTTTAAACGGTTAGGCCAGTTGGTTACCAAGTAGTTTTCTTACATCTTTATTAGGTAGGATACCTTTCTTCTTTTTCTTTTTTTGTGTGTGTAGGTTGTTAGGGTTGTGACCACTTGACGAGCACTTCACCCTGGCACTCACCATTGTTTAATCCCTCCCGCATACTCACTAACCCAATAAGCATGTGACACTGACTTATCGCCTCATTGCAGTGTAGCTTACCAAACGTCATTGTTAGGAAATAATACAATCCGTCCGTGTGCATATATTTATATTTCTGTTCGCATTTACGCGTGCATTACACATCCATGACCAACCAATATAAAAGTGGCGTTGATTATTTCGTTGCTTTACATTCATGGTAACCCGTTCACAGGCTCACCAATGTAAGGTATTTTTCGATTCTACATCTCCCTTCCTTCGTTTCCATTCGTTAACCTGCCTACTTTAACTACCGGTATACTGTTACTCGTGGATCCTGTTCTCTGGGATCATGGAGTTTAAGGAAGAGGAATTGGAGTCTGTAGCTAATCTATTCCGGAAGCTTGGGATGGATCCAAAGGATCAATCACCGGAGGACCTCAAGGCATGGATCCAAGGAATGGCTCAGCAACCTGGTCCCTTATTAACGCAAGAGCCCGGTCTAGACATCATGACAGAACCACCTGCTCCAGTTGAAAGCAAAGCCCAGGCTGTGGCTTATCACCAATTTCTCTGTTTAGCGGGGATGAAACAGGAAAGGATGCTCCTTTTGACCTCTGGTCGTATGAAGTTGATTGTTTATTTCAGTCAAAAGGTTATACCTTTGACGTTATGAATCAGGCTGTCCGCAGATCTCTTAAGGGGAGGGCTGGAGTGGCCATGAGACTTGGATCTACAGCTTCTACCACATATTTACTATCCAAGCTTCAGAGCATCTATGGTACAGTTAGGCGTCGGGAAGCCCTTATGGCACAATTCTATAGTGCAACCCAGAGGGAGGATGAAGATGTTGCTGATTGGGGCTGTCGCCTAGAACATTTATTATCCCAGATAACAGAACATCATACTATAACCATGAAAGAACAGGATGAAATGCTAAGGAACATGTTCTGGAGTGGCCTGAAGCCAACAATGAAAGCTGTATCTGGACATAAGTTCGACTCACAAGCTAGCTTTGATGAGCTACGAATCTCATTGCGTGAAATAGAGTATGACATGAAGCGGGAACTAACCACGTCTGAGACAAAGAAGTGCCATGCTTCTGCTAAGATGGCCGTACAAGATGAATCAGTTTCCAAGCGTGATCTTGAGACTTTAACATCTGCAATAGACCAGCTTCGAGGGGAAGTGTCGGACATCAGGAAACGACAGAACACAGCTCATGTATATCAACATCAGACATCCCAGCCAAGACAAGACAAGTCTTTTGGAGGCCAACAGCGATGGAGGAGCCGAGCCCAGTCATCTCATCACTCAGATCTGCCTGGTAACTCCGCTCCTACCAACAGTCCTTACACAGAACATAGACTAAGGGATAAATCGAGGAATGATTCTTACCAGCCCGGTAGGTATGGGAGCAGCAAACTAAGATATGAAGATAAAAACTCATCTGGAGATTACCCAAATTATGCCAAGGACACTCGCAACAGCCAAGGAACAACGGCCTGTCCTACACCACCTTATTGCGATCAGGAGGACCACCATGAACCGGTATGCTTTAGATGTGGATACCCTGGATACATAGCAGTTGGAAGAAGAGTGAGGCTTTACCACCTTCGTCGACCTTTAAACTGGCGAGGGCCTATGGGAAGGGGTCACCCTTAGGCTTATGACAGTGCTCCAGGGACACGCTACCAGAGGGACTTGTTGGTCAGGCTAATGAAGCAAGCATTACAGTTGACAATGTTCAGACCCGTGCCTTGTTGAACACTGGGGCTACCGTCTCGGTAATTTCAGAATCATTTTATGACCAGTATTTGAAACACATTCCCTTGGAGTCCCTCGGCAGTATGTTGGACATTGAATGTGCTGGAGGAGAAAACCTACCCTACAAAGGTTTTATTGAAGTTGGAGTTAGGTCAATTGGTGGTGGAACGGATAATGCAGAACCAGTACCATGTCTTTTCCTAATTGTACCTGTCACCAGATATAGTGCACAAGTACCAGTTCTGTTAGGAACAAACATACTGAGCTGTCTACAGGAAAACTGTAAGCAAGTCCATGGAGTTAAGTACTTAAAACAGGCAGCCTTACAAACCCCTTGGTATCTTACTTACAGAGCCATGAGCTTACAGGAACGTGAATTGCAACGCAAAGACTGGAGATTAGGTTACATTAAGAGTGTGGAGGACAAGAACACCTTGATACCATCTAACAGCACTGCATCAGTTAGAGGACAAGTTGCTAGAGGAGTTAGAATGCCCACACTTTGTGTTTTGATGCAGCCTACTCCAAAGTCACGTTTCAGCAAAGACATTGACATTGACCCAACCGTTATTTCTTATGATGGTCATCCAGATGTAGTAGAGGTTCATCTCTTCAACGTCAACAAACGCTGTGCTCGGAAGACTGCGCTACTGTAGTTTGGAATGTAAACAAAGAAAAATTCCGATTATACTGAGTAGCATGCGGCTATTCATTGCTTGCAATGGCTCAATACCTTTAGAATATGTATGGAAAGAGTATCATAGCAAGAAAGAGGAAATTAAAAATAGATACAATGCAATGATTTGATACTTCATAAGAAATTGTCCAAGTTTCCGTGCAGCGTGACGCCATAACAGACGCAAAATCATGCAGAACGACAACGGTAATTATCAGCATTTCTGGCTTCTTCTCTTATAACAATACACAGATAGTCAGAGTCACTCTGATTACTTACATTTCATATTTATGTCCAAACGATCCCTGAATCAAGGGAAGAGTCCTAGCAAAATCCTGTGTACCCTTGTCAGCGAAGCCGCCATTTTGTAAGAAATCGGTCATCAGTTGTGATGTCACACGTCAGCATGGTTGTAGTACTACATATTAGGCAATATCTTTGAGGTGAAGGTCGGATGAAAAAAAAGTAAACACAATCGTCCTATCCTTCTGATTACACTTTCAGTACTATGATGTATATTTTGCGTATCATTCAGATATTTTTGTGGGGAACTGCTCAGGAACAGGCCTTCCAGGAGATCAAGGATCGTCTTTCAATGCCACCAGTCCTAGGATACGCCGACTTTCAACAACCATTTGAGCTGCACACGGATGCAAGTACCCCAGGTCTAGGAACAGTCCTTTATCAACACCAGGATGGTCACCAACGAGTCATTGCATATGCCAGCAGAGGACTGAAACCATCTGAAAGGAATTACTCTGCACACAAGCTTGAATTCCTCTGTTTGAAGTGGGCAGTATCAGAGAAATTTCACGACTACCTGTACAGCAATGATTTTGTTGTTATCACCGACAACAATCCACTAACATACGTCTTGACATCAGCCAGATTAGATGCTATTGGGCATAGATGGCTTGCATCTGTCTCTAGTTACAACTTGTCCATCAAGTACCGACCTGGGACAGCTAATGTGGATGCTGATACTCCCTCTAGACTACCACCTCAATTAGATGTTTCAGAACCGGACCAAGTGCAATCTGACTCTGTTAAAGCGATCTGCCATGTGCTTACTTCGCCCAACTACATTGAGAGTCTTTGTGTCTCAACTACTCTTGCCGATGATGATGATCCCGTAATCAGTGATGATCAATGTGCAGCCAATGTTAGAGAATGGAGAAGAGGTCAAGGGAAGGACCAAACCCTGGCTACTATCATTGGACACTTAAGGGACAAGACAAGGCGTGACGGAAAATACAGTGTACAGATGATGAGAGTACGACTGTACTCATCAGGATCTACAATCAGCTAAGACTGAAGAGAGGAGTATTGTATCGGGTCACCATGAAAAAGGAGAAGAACAGGATTAGCTGGTTCTTCCAATTCAGTGTCGCAGAGCAGCATTACGATCACTCCATGACAATGTTGGACACCGAGGAAGGGATAGGACGTTATCACTGATCCTTGAACGATTTTTTTGGCCGGTAATGACCCGTGATGTCGAAGCACATGTACAATCCTGTGTCTCTTGTCTATGAAGAAAGACTCCAACTGCAGGGAGATCACCATTGGTCAGCATTGAAACATCACAGCCCTTGGAGCTTGTATGCATGGATTTCCTGACTCTGGAACCATCAAAGGGAGGTCAGCAACACGTTCTTGTGGTGACAGATCATTTTACCCGATATGCTCAGGCTTATCCAACAAAGAACATGACTGCAAGAACAACAGCAGAGGTCTTTTTCAACAACTTTGTTGTCCACTCTGGAATCC